GTGCTGAGTTGAACTTCGCCTTTTGTTATGTCAGTAACTAGCTCTCTAATTTATTTAAATATTTGTATGTAACTACAGCTGGGTAACAATAAAGACGATTATTATTATTATTATTATAAGCTACTTCCAGATTATCTAAGTGAATTCACTACGATTAACTCCTATATACATAATTATACTACTAGAGAAAATAATATGTTTCATCTCCCTAATTGGAAAATGGTAAACTCAATGAAATCGCTATTCTATAAAGGACTCGATGAGTTCAATAAGCTACCACAAGACATCAAGCAATCTAATACCATTTATGTATAAATCACCAGAATGTATTACAGCATAATCAATCTTGTTCAAACGAATTTATATACTTTGAGTGCATTATTTTATTTTTTAGTATTTGTCTTTCTTTTCTTTTTATTATATAACTATTAGTCTAGAAACATGTTTGTATAGATATTTTTTCATTTTTATATTAAGACATGTCCTACTAAAAAAATGAATGAATAGAGTTCTTCTTCTAAACTCACTTCAGTTTATACCAGCCCTGTTGAAAATGCCCTCAGTATAGATAAACTTTTCGAACTTCATCATCACCGTGTTAGGAATCACACGTTAAAAGGTAAGACCTCGTTAGTCCTTAGCTCGCACAAGTTTCGACTTCTGAGGGTCGTGGTTCGTAGGGGTGCAACCGCTGGTTAACGGAAAAACATTTTAACATATTTTTCAAAACAGAAAAGATCCATGAAAAAATTGAAAATAATTGCGTCACTACTCTAATGACCTATGTTATAAATTACTATTTAGGAACGGACTTCACCCTTCAAAATAAACGTGGATTCAACGTGTTACACCATGCAGCTTTGAAAGGAAAGACTTTTGCAACTAGGAAATTGCTAAGCGTCGCCAGACAATTGGTAGATGTCAAAAAAGATGACGGTTTTTCGGCTCTACATCTGGCCTCCCTCAATGGCCATAAAGATGTAGTAGAAACTTTAGTTAGGTTGGGACAAGCCGATATAGACTTGAGGAACAATCGAAACCAGACTGCCCTTCTTCTGGCTGTGAGTCAAGGTAAGAAAAAAGTTGTCTCTTCTCTCTTGGTAAAAAAAGTTGAAATTATTATAACATACCGGCGTCATTACAACACTGAGGACCATATATTTGAGTATCGTTATAGCAGGGGAGCCCACGATGCAAAATGGGGATTTACTCGAGCGTCATTGAGACATATTAGGTTGCAAAGCTTAGATGATAAGAAGAAAAAAATTTTATATAATATATACCTTTTCATCGTGGGGGAAGCGGCTATAGATTTTTAAATATGTAAAATAATACTGTTGCATGGACATACTCGAGCGCGTCAGATATTGATAGCGTCAATGTCCTACGTATTTTTAATAATGTTGGTATGTTAAACCGATCGTTTGCATGATGTGGGTGGTTGTACGTAAGGGTTGAAAGTGAAAAAACAAATTTAAACGAGCGCGTCAGATTTTCTAAGGGGGTGTTAAGTGCAACAAAATGCTCTCATTCAATAATCTGACGATTTCGATCCGACGTAAACTCGCAGCCATTATTATAATGTGCAAAAAAAAATCGTCATTTTAAAATACTCAAGCGCGTCAGATTAAGATATATGTGGTTCATCTTCATGTTTTAGACGTGCTGTCTCATAATCTGACGATTATCTAAAGGGATTCGCTTAATCTGACAAAAAGAATTTTTTTTAATTCATTGAACTTAATTGAAAATCTCAGGAAATAGCATGCAAATAAATAAGTGCATGTTTTTTAAGTAGAATATTCGTATTTATAAGAAAATAATGTTTAAAAAAGGCTCAAAAAAGTTTAATTTTTTATAATCAATTGATTAAATATTGAAGAAAAGAGAAATGCAACTTTCTATGTTTTTACCACTTTTATTTGTATCTAACGTTACTGCAGTTTCGTCCTATAAGGACATTTTCAAACATATGTGTTGTATGAGCAATTGCAAAAACTTCAAAATCGGGACATGCAATTAATATTGGGATGTAGCCGTTACTCAGCAATTAAATCGATGTTACAGTATCTAAACTGGTTTTCAGTTGAAGAACCTATATTATAAATGACTAGGATCTTTATATTTAAGCTGCATAAAGGATTGCTACCCAATTACTTTCAAAAATTCTTATTGAGAAATAATGAAGTTCATGATTACAATACGAGAAGAAATAACAATTTTTACATTAATNGCCAATCGAATTGACTTCATGTATACTATACCATTACATTTATTTTTTTTTTGTCGAAGTAAAAGTCTCTTCGTATTACTATTTGCATTTCCAAAATGTTGCAGGCCACTGCGCTGTCATCGAACTACTCGTCAGACTGAAAGCCAACATAAATGCCAAAGACGAAGACGAGGACACCGCCTTGCACTTGGTCCTGACGAAACGCAACCACCTCAACGGTGAAGTCGATCGCGACGAGAGCCCCGAAATATACGCCATATACCAGAATCTCGCCCACCTGCAGGAGTGCCACATGGCGATGGCGATCGCGTGCTTCCTCATACAGAAAGGCGTCGACCTTGACGCTCTCAACGGCAAAGGTCTCTCTGCGCTGACCATATTGCAGGACGAGGTTCTGCAGGACTTGGTGAAGAGCTACAAGCCGACCGAGGAAGACGTGGAACAGGCGGAGGACGTTTGCAATTTGGATAGTTTGACTCTGAACGAGAATGGCAGGGAGGGATATAACTTGACAGAAGCAGGGCCAAACGGGGGAGCTGCCGGAGAAGGCGGACAACGGAGAAGGAGTAGGCTGAAGGTGGATAAGGGTGAGTGGTGTTTTTTGAAGGTATAGAACTAGAATTTATTATTGATTTCAATGAAAACTCCTATTCTAAGAGGGTGTACTAGATTTTTGTGACGGAAATCATTCAGATCTGCAAGCTTATACAGATGACCTTGTCATCTGCAAGAATAACTTTGAAAAAACTTCCATAGTTGGTATGCAGATAATGTGTAGACCACAGCAAAAATGTGATAATTCTGGAAGAGGAATCTGAATAAGTGGAAAATCTTGGGGTTTTGGGCTTGAACAAATCCATTGGATAGATGGATCCATTGGATGTGATATTTAGTGTACAGAGACATATTTGCCAGGCTATCTCTAATATGTTCTGCACCATATCTTCCACTCCCATGGAAATCCTTCTAAACTCGCCTCTTCTCCATTTTTTTTTGAGAAATGACAACGTACAAGAGTGTGCATATTGCCAAATGCACTAAACAGGCTTGTGTGGAAAATAGCAGACTACTGGCTATACTGAAAGTCACTGCATTTTGGGAAAGATCTCCAACTAAATTACTCCAACAATCAACTATGATGTCTTATGCATGAGAAGAGGACTAGGTCCTCCAGGAGGGGGAAATACGAAGGGCAGATGAATGAAAAATAGCTTCAGGTCCTGGAGCGGGTATATACAGTTGCATATCCAGGACAAAGATATCAACCTGCTTTGAGACCTCCGCGACTGTATTTCAGGTGAATTCTTCACATTGTTTTAAGAGTGGATAAATTGGCAGAAACTAACGTCACACATAATGGGCTTGTTTCATGCTATGGAAAATGATACTGGTTTTCTTAGACTGATCAAGTTAGGGGTATATTATACTTATCAAGCCTAATCGGTACCAAAATCTCTTAATATTTGCAGAAAAAAGAATAATTCGAAAAGCAAGAATTTAAATTGGCCGCGTGTCTGTTGACCAATAAAATTGATCGTGTCTAGAGCGGAGTTGCCAAGTGTTCATATTGAAGTAG